GTTCTGGCACGGAGGCCTTCATTACGCAGTGTGCGTCTTATTGTCTGGGCTGAAACTTCTGTACCCACATCTGACAAATCTTTTCTCAGTTCCTCAGCAGTCACACGGGGACTTCTCTCCACTCTACGCTTCAGGTAGCGCACAGCAGTCGAAGTCAGCATCTTCTTTCTGCCACGACCAGGTAGCGTTTCAACAGTGCCCTTTGCCTTGAATTTGCGAATGATGCTTCCTAAGGTGTCTCTTGGTATGTTTAACATCTTTGCAATCTTCTTATAGCCATTGCCCTTCCTGTGAAGAGAAATCACCTCTTCTCTTGTCTTCCTGGACCATTCTCTTGCCTTCACCATGTTTGTAACCACACCAGTAAATGTCTAGAAGGAGCTGAGTATCACAGTCATTTTAAAGCTGCCTAATTGGTGCTTATTATGCTTGATTGCTGCTCGGTGACATCCACAGGTGTTTTCAATACCTGATGGAAAGCACCTGTATGAACCTCTGTTCTTCAGAGTGGTAGTCTTTAAGGGGTTGAATAATTGTGGCAATGAAGAAACCACATAAGAACCATTTACTACTGTATTACATAAACAATTGATGTCATTTTAGTTGCATTTGGGTAGTTACAACGTCCTTGTAGGATTTGATTCTGAATACAATTCCAAATGTACACTATAGTCCCTAAACCCCTTTACAGCATTGGGGGTTGAATAATTTTGGTCACAACTGTATATATAGGAATCAGGACTTCCTTCATCCTGCTGGTGATCCCTCTAGTGATAACTAAAGATCTATATATAGGAATCAGGACCCCCTTCATCCTGCTGGTGATCCCTCTAGTGATAACTAAAGATCTATATAGAGGAATCAGGACCTCCTTCCTCCTGCTGGTGATCCCTCTAGTGATAACTAAATATCTATATAGAGGAAACAGGACCTCCTTCATCCTGCTGGTGATCCCTCTAGTGATAACTAAGGAAAATATATAGAGGAATCAGGACCTCCTTTCTCCTGCTGGTGATCCCTCTAGTGATAACTAAAGATCTATATAGAGGAAACAGGACCTCCTTCCTCCTGCTGATGATCCCTCTAATGATAACTAAAGATTTATACAGAGCAGGGGTGACAACCTTTTGAAAAGGGAGGGCCAATGAAGGGCACTCTCCAGTTTTGGTAAATCAGCTCCATTGTGAATGTAGTGTCAATATTCTAAGTGCTCAGCTTGACAGCGGGTCAGCAACAAGTCAACCAGCCAGGGCAGAAATTGATCCATCCTTTTGCAATGATCGGGCTGGGATACTTTGGTCATTATTATGATCGAATTTTGACCAATCAGATTATTAGATTACATGTCAGAAATAGAGATAGGACTGTTAACTTATGATCATAAATTATGATCCTATGGTAGCTATTGATTGAAATACAGTAGTTTGGCATATTGATCATAGATTGATTATTCTGATCGTAAGAAATTATCAGAAAATTAATAATTTCTAAGCACGTATGGCAACCACTTGAGCAGCTGAAATCAACTGGTATGTTATGAAAACCAAGTTTGGGTCTAATGCCTTACTCTTGTGCTCCAGATTTAACCCCCTTCATGACCTGGCCATTTTTTGCTGTTTGGCACTGCACGACTTTAACTGGTAATTTCTCAGTCATGCAATGCTGTACGTAAACAAAATTTATATTATTTTTTCCACACAGAGCATTCTTTTGGTAGTATTTGATCACCACTGGGTTTTTTATTTTATTTGCGATACAAACAAATTATTTTTGATAAAAAAAACTGCTTTCTGCTATAAAATATATCAAATAAAGAAATAAAAAAAATCTAATTTCTTCATAAATTTAGGCCAAAATGTAATCTGCTACATGTCTTTGGTAAGATTAAAAAAAAATCTCAATAAGTGTATATTAATTGGTTTGCGTGAAAGTTATAGTGTCTTCAAACTATGCTATAGATACTGGAATTTGTATTTATTTACTTTATACCAGTAATAACAATGATCAGGGACATAATGTGACTATGATAGTGCGGTAGGCAATTGACACTGACGCTGGGGGGAGAATGACTGACAAACTGCCACTGACATCTCCAGTGACATTAATACAGTGATCAGTGCTAAAAATATACACTGCCACTGTACTAATGACACTGGATGGGTAGGGATTAACATCTAGGGTGATCAAGGGGTTAAGTGTGTGTGCCTAACCAGGGGTGGACTGACCATTTGAGCACTCGGGCACTGCCCAAGGGCCCGGGGTCAGTAGGGGGCCCCATGAGATGCCCCTGGTACCTTTCATTGGCTTTTTCATAGGCTTTTTTGGGTGTGGGCGAGGACACAGGGGCCCCATGATCCCCTATTGCCCGGGGGCCCCATGAGTTGTCAGTCCGCCCCTGTGCCTAACAATGTTTATTGTGTGCTGTTTTCCTAAGCAAATTGCCAGGTTTATAAAAACAAAAAAAAAAAAAACGGCACATTGGTTGCTGTCTGAAAAGAGCCCTGTTGTTTAGCAACACAGTGCTCCATTCTGTCATTCTGAGCCGATCAGAGGGTTCTGGCCACAAATCATTGGCCGGGACCTGCTGATTGGCTTGAGCTGCAGCGAATGATAGAGGGGAAATCTTCCCCGACCGTGCTATTACTTTCCTAGGGACAACCCAAAATTTGGGGTTTATTTTACGGTCAGTGATAACAGTAAAACAGGACAAATAGAGAGGGTAAATCTCCCCAACGGGCCAAAGACACAATAAAAACCTGACAGGGGTTTTCATCACTCTCCCCTCTATCCAAAACTAAAAAACAAAAACAAAATTGCCTTTAGTTCCACTTTAAGAAATCCATCTGCATGCAGTACTGGTACTCTAGTACCTAGCTCTGCAAGGTAAGGAAATGTTCTGCATGTAATACCAGTACTGGCACTGAAGAGTTATTCCAAATATCACCCAAACCATCCTCGCATGACCTCCTGCTCTCTAAGCTCCCTTGTCTCCTCCTCCCATGCTCGTCTCTAGGACTTCTTCAGAGCTTCCCCATCCTCTGAAACTCTCTACCCCAATTTATCAGACTATCGCCTACTCTGCTCACTTTTAGGCAATCTCTGAAAACCTATCTCTTCAGGGAAGCCTATCCTGCCCTCAGCTAATAATGGAATCTTCTACTCTTCCAACCAGTCCATCCCCCACAGTTACTACCTTTTGTACCACCAGCCCCTCCCTCCTAGATTGTAAGCTCCAAGGAGCAGGGCCCTCCTATCCCTCTTGTATTGAACTGTATTGTCTCCCTTTATATTGTAAAGTGCTGAGCAAACTGTTGGCGCTATATAAATCCTGTATAATAATAATTGTATGCACATTGTTATACGGCTAGGCTCACACCTATGCAGGTTGCATTTGAGCCGTTTCGGCATTGCATTTTGTGTTGCGTTTTTGACACTTTTTTTTTTTTCATTTTTTTTCTTGTTGCTAGGCAGATTTAAAATGCAAAACGCATCAAAAACGCAATACATGCTTTTATGCAGCATTTCCATTAATGGCTATAAAACCAAAAACGCAACTTTTTGCGTTCACAAAAGTCCCTGACCCTTTCCAAAAAACGCACCGGGTGAAAATGCGCAGATGTGAACCTGTCCCGTAGGAAATCATGTTAAATGGACTGTACTGTGTTTCTGGAAAACGCTTAGTGTGAACCTAGGGTAAGAGGCTTTTTCACTGGTCTTTAATATCTCATATAAACATCAATCAAAAAAATTGTTTGTTGTGCTACACAATATTGTTATACATTTCAGTACTCCAGCGCCCAGCTCTGCCAGAGAATTACTCTGAATGCAGCATCAGTACTCTGCTTTGCTAGGTAAAAAATCAATCTGCATTTAGTACCAATACTCCAGTACCCAGATCTGCCCGATAAATACATACTCTTCATATAGTTCCAGTACCCAGCTCTGTCAGGTAAGGCAACATTCAGCATGTAGTACCAGTACTGCAATACCCATCTATACCAGGTAAGAATATTCTGCATGTAGTCGCAGTACTCCAGTACCCAGATCTGCCAGGCAATGGAATATTCTGCATGTAGTCGCAGTACTCAGATCTGCCAGGCAATGGAATATTCTGCATTCTGCATGTAGTCGCAGTACTGCATGTAGTCGCAGTACCCAGATCTGCCAGGCTAAAGAATATTCTGCATGTAGTCGCAGCAGATCTACGGAATATTCTGCATGTAGTCTCAGATACTGATCTGCCAGGCAATGGAATATTCTGCATGCATGTAATAGTAGCAGTAGTAGCAGTACTCCAGTACCCAGATCTGCCAGGTAACGGAATATTCTGCATGTAGTCACAGTACTATTCAGGCAATGGAATATTCCCAGATCTGTACAGGCAACAGAATATTCTGCATGTAGTCGCAGTACTCAGGTACCCAGATTCTCATGCCATACCCAACGCTAAAGAATATTCTGCATGTAGTAGCAGTACTCCAGTACTCAGATCTGCCAGGCAATGGAATATTCTGCATGTAGTAGCAGTACTGCCAGGTACGGAATATTCTGCATGAGTCACAGTATTCAGGCGATCTGCCAGGCAAAGGAATATTCTGCATGTAGCAGCAGAATATTCTGCATGTAATCGCATTCCGATACCCAGATCTGCCAGGCAATGGAATATTCTGCATGTAGTCGCAGTACTCTGATCTGCCAGGCAACAGAATATTCTGTATGTAGTCGCAGTACTCCAGTACCCAGATCTGTCAAAGAAATACTCTGCATGTAGTATCAGTACTCAGCTCTGCCAGGTAAAGAAATCCTCTTCTAAAGACGCTTCATGTCATGGCAGCACTCCAGCGCTCTCCTGTATCAAGAATACTCCATGTGTAGTAGCAGTACTCCAGCTCTGCCAGGTATAGAATTATTCTCCATGCAGTCCCAGTACCTCTGTAGCAGGTCAGGGAGTCCTCCATGTCTAGTCCCAGTACCCACCTGTGCCAGGTCAGTGCACTCACCTTCTGCCGGGCTCTCTGGATGAACTCCAGGGGATCTTTCCCCATCTGCAGCGCTGCCCCCAGCCAGGGGATCCATCCCCGTATACAGGGAGGAGGTGGCAGTCTATGGGGGGATCTGGTCAAGAGGGATCTCACCAGCAGGCCGACCAGGAGCCCCAGAAGGATCCCCACAGCGGAGTGCAGCTCCATCATCCGACCCTCCGCCATCCTCCCCTGACACCTGTCATCCCGAGACACAGCACCACCTATACACAGCGGGGGAGGGGGCGGGGACACACACTAGAGACCTGCCGAATGACAGCGGGAGAGGGGTGTGTCTGAGAGGGAGACCCTGGACAGCCAGTGGGGAGGACGAGAAGTACTTGCCAATCAGAAATGTGGGCTGGGCACATGGGCGTGTTAGAAGGCGTGTGAGTGGGCGAGTAAGTCAAAGAACATATAGGGAGGACGAGAAATACATACTCTCCAATCAGAGTGCTGGCTGGGCGCATGGGCGTGTTAGAAAGCGTATCTGTGGGCGAGTAGGTCACACAACATACACGGAGGGATATAGATACATACTAACCAATCAAAAGCGTGGGCTGGCCACATGGGCGTGCTGGAAGGCGTGTCTATTACAGAGCATGGAATGTGTAAATACAGCACCAAAAACACAGCTCCCTATGGAAATGAATGGAGAACACAGCAAAAACGCATGAAAAATGCACCATGTTTGCGTTCTTGATTTTGCAGGCGGAATTTGGGATTGCGGGCGGAATTCTGGCCACGAGTCCAAATCGCACTGTAAGCCCTGGTTCACACGAAGTGCCATTCTGGATGTTTTCAAACGTACAGGTTACCATGACGGCTGGGAATGATGTGTTCCTATTGAGGTGGTTCACAGGTGGTGGTTTGGTGCCATTCCAATAAGTGTCTAGTGTGAGTTTGTATTGAGGCGTTCTAGACTCACCAGTGGCATACGGAGGTCAGTGTTCACATAGGTGAACATATAGTGCCACTGGTATTAAAGGGACTAAAAACCGTGTACACATCAGGGGCGGACTAACAACTCATGGGGCCCCCGGGCAATAGGCGATCATGGGGCCCCTGCGTCCTTGCCCAAACTCAAAAAAGCCTATGAAAAAGGTACCAGGGGCAACTCATGGGGCCCCCTACTGACCCCCGGCCCTCGGGCAGTGTACGAGTTTCCAAATGGTCAGTCCGCCCCTGGTACACACAAAGGTTGACAATGACCCCTTAGGACAGGGGATAAACAAAAGTGCTAAGTGCACAATAAGTGTCCACACTTCAAAACTACACAAAACTTAAATAATCAGAAAAGTCCATATCGCAAACAATCGGTGATGAATATGTCCATGCAATGTGCGATGGTGTTTTACAAATCCGTGCCCATGTCAACACACTTCTCCTATTGCCGCTACAATGCCTCCTCACCTCCTCCCGATGACCCCCAGGGGCCAAACAGCTTTCAGGATCACCCTGGATCCTTTATCATTCAGGCTGGTAAAGCCTTATGCAGTGGGTCTCCTGTAGGGCCCCCGTTTCCCCAGACAGGAAGTTTCTGTAGGACAATATCTCACCAACACAGTGAGCCAGAAAAGATCCTCTATAGTGCAGTATTTCTTTGTACCAAAACTCCTTTATTCAATGTAAAAGAATGCCACTCACAGCAGTTCCCCTTCCTCACCGATGTGTGGGTGTACTGCATGTGCGTGGGACTTCCTGGGTATACCAAGATGGGGACCGACGCAGGAAGTGTGTCACCGTACACCGGAAGCTGCGTATTAGCGTACCTACGTGTTCCATCACAGACAGCTCGTGACTTCCTCGGGGTATCGCCATGGAAACACAGCTTCTTCCTTTTATACAGGACCTAATTTAAAAAATATATAAATATATGCCATAAAATTTTGATTCTAAAAATTGATTTACCACTGATAAAAAATGGACTTACAAATAATCTGTCCCTTCATCATGCAATATAACCACACATTGACATAGATGACTATATCCATAATCGATAATCAAAATTACACATGAATAAAATACAAGACATAAAATAGATAGATCATATACCATATAAAATATATATATATATTGTGGGAACTCGCTTCTAAATGGTAGAGCTTCTTCAAAGCACACAGCAACTTGCTTCTTTTTAAGGGCCTTTTTGCCCAATTTTAAAGGAAAAAGTTCAATAACCCAAAATGCTTCTCACACAGGGGTATCCACCATCACACAAATGTAACAAATGTCAGCCTTCTGGCTGGTACACCGATTTCCGTCTGTCTCCTGCAGACTCTATCCAAAAATGGCTTTCCCGCACACAGCTAGCCAATAGCACACAGCTTGTCTGGCTTCCACCTCTACTAGGTGAAGCCCACCTGACTCCAAGGCAGAGACCTCCTGTCTGCCGAAGAGGAGCCCTCCTGACTCCTGTCTGCCAGGGTGGAGCCCAGAATCATGGCCTGGCCTCCACAAAAAGGCCTGCACACACCTGTGTAATCATTATGCTGGCTGCTCTCAAAATAGGATTCCCAAAAAACACAGGGTCTCCTGACATTTTGCCACATATCACAACAAGGACCCTAGTAAGATGAGATTTTGGGGTATAGAGAAATTTAAGAAACATTGGAGGGGTAGTAAAAAAAATTAACCAATTCAATACCGGGCAATTTTACACCTTCCTGCCCAGGCCAGTTTTCACGTTTCAGCTCTCTCACACTTTGAATGACAATTGCGCGGTCATACAACATTGTACCCAAACTAAAATTTTATCATTTTCTTCACACAACTAGAGCTTTCTTTTAGTGGTATTTAATCACCACTGGGGTTTTTTTATTTTTTGCTAAATTAACAAAAAAAGACCAAAAATGTTGAAAAAAAAAAAAACACACGTACAGTCCGACGTACTTCATAAGAGGCATGGTGAGCTTTTAAGTTGTTGTATTTTTTTTGTCATAATTTTTCGGAAAATGAAAAAATGAAAAAAATTAGTTTCACTATTTTTTTTTTACATATTGTCACCAGTGCAGTACAGCGGCATCATATAACTGGCATGGCGGTGATCAGGGACACTGACTGGTGACAGTGTTAAAAAAAATATATATATTTTTAAATTTTTTTATTAAATATTTTTTCTTTTTTTTAACCATTAGCCGCCCGGCCAATGGCCGTTTGGCGGCTTCAGAAGTGCTGCGGCATTCCAGGTGCACGCCATTTGGCGTGCACCCGCACATGCGCAGTTTGCGGTAATGCAGAGCCTCGCAGCGGTGCGATCTGTCACCCGCCGTGTACCTCGGACACGGCCGATGACAGATCTGAGTACCGACCCTCGTTGCTGGTACCATGTGACCTGCTGTGACCAATCACAGCAGGTCACATGACAGTTGTATACAATGGATGGCTTCATTCATGCCATCCATTGTATACTACTGCCTAGCTGTGAATGGTCACAGCTAATCACATGCACATGTCATGTGATTAGCTGTGACCAAATCACAGCTAAGCACAAAAAAAAAAAACCTGAATGAATCGATTTCATTCAGGTAAATGCTTGCTTATAGCAAAGTAATTCTTTGCTATATGCAAATTGTGTAAAAAAAAAAAAAAAATACTGATCACTTCCCCAAAGTAGTACAATGTTACTATGGTAACATTGTACTACTTTGGTCATAGTACAATATGAAAAAAAAATCTTAAAAAAAAAAAATTAAAAAATGTAATAAAAAATTTAAAATTTAAAAAAAAAAAAAAAAAAAAAATATATATATATTTTTTTTTCCATACTGTCACCAGTCAGTGTCCCTGTTCACCGCCATGCCAGTTATATGATGACGCTGTACTGCACTGGTGACAGTATGTGAAAAAAAAAAAAAATAGTGAAAATAATTTTTTAAATTTTTTTATTTTCCGAAAAATTATGACAAAAAAAATACAACTTCAAAAAACTCGCCATTCCTCTTATAAAGTACGTCGGACTGTCTACTCTGCAAAAAGGGGTCATTTGGGGGATATCTGTACTGTTCTGACATTCTTGGACCTCACGAAATTAGATTGGCTGTCAGTCCTTCAGGATTGATCAATATTCAGATCTATACCATAGTTTGTGAACTCTATAACTTTCCTACAAACTAAATAATACATCCTAATTTGGGTTATTTTTAGAGATGAGCGAATTATTCAAAAATTCGATTCGGCTGATTCGCCGAATTTGCGGAATAAATTTGATTCGATGCGAATTTATTCGCTGCGAATTTAACTTATAAAAAGGGTGTTTCTAGGCTTCAGAGAGCCTTTATATTAGTGCAGAACACTGTACCTTTAATTTAAATGCCCTTGGAGTCTGCTGGGGAAGAGAAATAATACTGTCAGTCAGTATGACATGCAGATGAGTGCCGTCGATCTTAGAATCACCGCACACTTCACTCATTTGGGCAGTCACGGGGCCAAAACCAGAGTGTGGAACCACAGTGTGGCGGTGGAGGCAGCAGCAATGGGAGGCCATACAGCACCCTATGACAAAATGGAACCCACCAGCAGTGTGAGGAGACCTGAAAGTGGCACATGGCAGAGTGTGGCGATGGAGACAGCAGCAATGGGAGGCCGTACAGGGACCCATGACAGACTCTGGACCTGGCAGCAGCATGAGGAGGCGGTACAGGGGCCCATGGCAGATTAGGGGCCTGGCAGCAGCATGAGGAGTCGGTACGGGGGCCCATGGCAGATTACGGACCTGGCAGCAGCATGAGGAGGCGGTACAGGGGCCCATGGCAGAGTGGCGAAGCGTAAGCAGCTTAAATTGAAGGCCATACAGAGGCCTATGTTAAAAAGTCCCCCCAGCAACAGTGTGGGGAGACGACTATCAAGAGTCCAATGGCAGAGTGGCGGAGCAGAAGCAGCTTCAATTGAAGAAGAAGAGGATGAGGATGAAGAAGAAGAAGAAGAAGAAGATGAGGATGAGGATGAGGATGAAGAGAGAAGAAGAAGAAGAAGAGGATGAGGATGAGGATGAAGAAGAGGATGAAGAAGAGGATGAGGATGAAGAAGAAGAAGAAGAGGATGAGGAGAAGAAGAGGATGATGAAGAAGAAGAGGATGAGATGAGGAAGAGGATGAGGATGAGAAGAAGAAGAAGATGAGGATGAAGAAGAAGAAGAGGATGAGGATGAAGAGGATGAGGATGAAGAAGAGATGATGGAAGAAGAA